CTGTAATGTAGTAGGTTGAGTACCATCTATTATATAGTAGGTTGAGTATCATCTATTATATAGTAGGTTGAGTATCATCTATTATATAGTAGGTTGAGTACCATGTGTAATATAGTAGGTTGAGTACCATGTGTAATATAGTGGGGTGAGTACTATCTGTAATGTAGTGGGGGTGAGTACTATCTGTAATGTAGTAGGTTGAGTACCATCTATTATATAGTAGGTTGAGTATCATCTATTATATAGTAGGTTGAGTATCATCTATTATATAGTAGGTTGAGTACCTTGTGTAATATAGTGGGGTGAGTACCATGTGTAATATAGTGGGGTGAGTACCATCTGTTCTATAGTAGGTTGAGTACCATCTGTTCTGTAGCAGGTTGAGTACACTGTGTAATATGTATTGGTACAAAATGATAAAACCCTATTACCTATTATAGGGTTACATCATTTTGTATCAACACTTCTTGAAGTTACGGGTTTTTCTGACATCATGAATGTAACATGTATTGATATTTGAAAACTGTGTTGTCAGTCACATACTATATCTTTTTAGTTTTAATTTTTACAATATGCATATATTGTATCTTTAACAAATTAAGATAAATATGTTGGTAATGTTTAACAAAGGCTATTGTGTAGATACTAAACTGTTGATGTTTAACAGACTCTTGCTGCTTAGATTTTCCAGTACTGATGTTTAACAAACTGTTGCGTAGATACTATAGTACTGATGTTTAACCCTATCGCCACGGGTATCCTTTACTGCACATGTCATAAGGTTTTAGTGTCTTACTTTCGATATTTTATTAAACTACTTTGTTTATCTTATGCAAATTAGAATAGCATAAAAATCTTGGCTAATAATCCATATTTTAATAGTATATAAGTTTTAAGGCAATATTTTAAAAATCCTGGGCTTCAACTAGTGTGACACATTTTCTCTAGGCATCTCCTCTTCTTCTCTATTTCATTCACCATCCTTCCAATAACTACGAAATTTAACATAAATTACTCACTATAAACTTGTCATTGCTCAGACAAACCACACTTTTTATAGCTTTCAATTATGTTTGGTTACAGAACTATCAAATAGAAAATCAGACCCCTCTTCCCACACCCACGTCACATTCTCTCCTTGAGGATTTGTTAATAGTTCTCTCTTACGTTTAATTCTATATTATCTATAACGAATAGAAAGACACGGTTTTTAATAATGAAAAAAAAAAGTTTCATCAGGCACGCACGTGAACAGCTCGTAGGTAATGTTATTTGATAGCGTAAAGTGAGCTCCACATAATTATGATTACAACTTATAATGGCACAATTAGTAGATAGACATGGTTCAAAAGGCAATAAAACAATAAAATTTAATTATAAATAGATGTACACTGTTATGAGTTTAAAGTTATTTAGGATAAACGAATATAGTTCCATGTTACAATTTGAAGTTATTCTAGAAAGAAAAAATAAGGTAATTTAGATTTTTTATTTGGTGGTTACAAGATCGGTCAAATTGACCAACCTTGTATAGAGTTAGGGTAGAGAAAATAACAGATAAAATATAAGGTTTTACAGAAAACAAACGTTTGAAATGTATTTAGAAGGTTTTAGAGATTACACAAATGAAATTTGAGGTTTTTGAGATGAATAAAGTATTTTTAATCTTAAAATGTTAATCACTTTGCACATGGACTATTCAACACAAATACTCGATATATTCATGGACAAATCTTTTTTTAGTTTATTTGAAATATGATATTTTGTATGTGAAAGACTTGTAATTTTTACTGAGAGACTCTCAAATTTTGTTAAGATATACTTACTATATTAAAAGTTAGTAGTATCAAATCTATAAAGACTTCTAATGAGTAAAAAGAGGTCACATGGTCAGTCAGATCGACCGAGCCTGTGTTGAGAGAGTTAACAGTTTTCGTGTAGATACTATAGTAGCAATGTTTAACAAACTGTTGTTGTGTAGATACTCAAGTACTGATATTTAACAAACTGTTGTTGTTGTTGTATAGATACTACAGTACTGATATTTAATAAACTTGAGTAATTATTATAGTTCAATTATTTAGCGATCTAGTAAATGAGATGGGAATAGTTACACAGGAATAATTTTTTTCAGAGTCAGTCCAAGTGGAGTTCTTCCCCTGTATGTATTTAATCTGCTAGACGAGGCTCGGACCGAGATAAGGCAACTGTAAGTATTGCAGAACTCTTTAAGTGAGCCAAATATGGTATTATCATAGCAACTGATTGTAAGTAACTTTTTGTCATGAAATAATGCATTCAAAATAAGAATAATATATTTAATTCTCGGTTGAGTTTTAATTCTAATCTATGTAAATAAGTTGCATTGGTCAGAGGTTAATATTAACTGTATGACCTAATTCTTTTGTAAGCATGAAGAGTACTTGTTATTTTTAAATGTTGAGTTAATGTCCTTTATGAACCTGAGCCTTACATAACCGAATCATTTCAATTGTTCTGTTACTTCCTTTTCTGGGCCTTACTATTAGATGACTGAAGATTTCAAATGTTCATTTTCTAAGCCTCGTGGGCAATAATGTGAATGCGTGCTATTTTGATAGCTGATGTATACAAAACCTAACATTTCCCTCTGCTTCATGGAGACTTCATTCTAGTAGACTGCTACAACCCACTGACTTTCAAAATTTAAACTTTTTCTGGAAGCTCAAGTTAAAAGATATGCCTCACTACAAAGACAAATGTCCATTTTACAAATATTTTATTCATTACTACCATGGTTTCTTCAGCAAAGGCATCATCAGGTACAACAGTTTCACTAAATACTGACGGTTTCAAATATTAATTACATGCTTAACTTTAAAGCTCTTTAGATGCTGAAAACATGTAAGAAGAAAATGTGTCTTAAGAAGAAGACAGAAGTATAGATTAAAATGGAACTACACAAAGCTACATCTAAAAATGTACATGAAAAAGAAGAAAGAGTGTTTTGCTTAATTTTCCTCAGTTCTAATAATTTAACATATATTCTATACAATAATTTAACATATCTTATACATTATAATTTAACATATCTTATACATTATAATTTAACATATCTTATACATTATAATTTAACATATCTTCTCCAGTAAATGCTCACTTCACCAACAAAAGTGCTTGAGAAAATGTGTGCTTAGTTTCACTCTACCAGATTAACACACCATTCTACTGTATTAGCACACAGCTCAACTATATTAGCACACCACTACTAGATTAACATTCAACTCCACTGTATTAAGACACAGCTCCACTATATTTACAGAGATCCACAAGATTAGCACACAGGTCTACCAGATTAACACTCAACTCCACAAGATTAACACACAATGCTGCTGGATTAACACTCAAATCTAAATTCACATAAAGCCCTTGTATTTAATACAACTAACACTATGAATGACCAGCTGTCTCACTTCTGTATCATAAAGTGTTAACACCTAACACTATGAATGACCAGCTGTCTCACTTCTGTATCATAAAGTGTTAACACCTAACACTATGAATGACCAGCTGTCTCACTTCTGTATCATAACGTGTTAACACCTAACACTATGAATGACCAGCTGTTTCACTTCTGTATCATAAAGTGTTAACACCTAACACTATGAATGACCAGCTGTCTTACTTCTGTATCTGAGTAGTAAATTTAATGTCCAGTTGTCAATGCCAGTATCAGCATCCTCAAGTGACCTGTGTCTAACTTCACTTGGGATTCAGAGTAGAATTTTGTATGTCTTCTATAGAAGTACATTGCTTGAACAAAGAGAAAATAAACCATATAGAAGATATGTTAAATTATAATGTATAAGATATGTTAAATTATTATATAGAAGATATGTTAAATTATAGTGTATAAGATATGTTAAATTATTATATAGAAGATATGTTAAATTATAATGTATAAGATATGTTATATTATAATGTATATGTTAAATTATAATGTATAAGATATGTTATATTATAATGTATATGTTAAATTATAATGTATAAGATATGTTAAATGATAATGTATAAGATATGTTAAATTATAATGTATAAGATATGTTAAATGATAATGTATAAGATATGTTAAATTATTATATAGAAGACATGTTAAATTATAATGTACAAGACATGTTAAATTATAATGTATAAGATATGTTAAATTATAATGTACAAGATATGTTAAATTATAATGTATAAGATATGTTAAATTATTATATAGAAGATATGTTGGTATTTCCTTTGTTTCAAAGAGTAATACCTTTTTTTTTAAATTAGAGAAGATAGGTTGAGTTCTCAAAATGTCCAAATAGAAGTGTATGAACAAGAAATTCAAACACTTAAAGAACAGGTAAGACTAAAAATGAATCAAACATCAAATTTAAGTTATTATTTAAATATGCTTAAAGTAACATGAATCAAGCCAAGTGATCTAAGCTATTATTTAAATATGCTTAAAGTAACATGAATCAAGCCAAGTGATCTAAGCTATTATTTAAATATGCTTAAAGTAACATGAATCAAGCCAAGTGATCTAAGCTGTTATTTAAATATGCTTAAAGTAACATGAATCAAGCCAAGTGATCTAAGCTATTATTTAAATATGCTTAAAGTAACATGAATCAAGCCAAGTGATCTAAGCTACTATTTAAATATGCTTAAAGTAACATGAATCAAGCCAAGTGATCTAAGCTATTATTTAAATATGCTTAAGTCAACATGAATCAAGCCAAGTTATCTAAACTATTATTTAAATGTACTTCAGTCTGGATGAATTAAACCAGGAAATCTAAGTTATTATTTAAATGTACTTCAGTCTGCATGAATTAAACCAGGAAATCTAAGTTATTATTTAAATGTACTTCAGTCTGCATGAATTAAACCAGGAAATCTAAGTTATTATTTAAATGTACTTCAGTCTGCATGAATTAAACCAGGAAATCTAAGTTATTATTTAAATGTACTTCAGTCTGCATGACTTAAACCAGGAAATCTAAGATATTATTAATTATCTAACAATTAATGGTTTTGTTTGTTTTAGCTGAGGGTCAGAGATATTGAGCATGAAGAGGAAATCTGTGCTTTAAAAGGACAGGTCACGCAAGGGCAAAAGTGAGTAACTTTCATGTTTATGTAAGAGATTAGGGCTCATTTTATTTTTATGTATAATCACAGTAATGTGAAATTATATAGTTGTTATCTAATATTTAGTTTTTCAACTCTTTTATGGGTTTTTTAGTCATTTCAATAGTAGTTTCATTTATATCTTAGATATGTTATTAGTATTATCCACAGACTTGGTAAGGTGGCATTAAATTAGCAATTATCTGCAAGTAAAATACTACAAAAAAATGATGAAACTGGTAAAATGGGGTTCAATACAATTTTTATAATTGTTAAAAAGTTTATTTCCACAGCACATACTATAATGCTGCTTATTTCTTTCCTGTTGACTTAAGACAACACATCCAGGAGAACATAGACCTTATTCGACTCCACAGAGATGTGAAGCAGAAATCTAGTAAACTGCTTATTCTAGAGACCCAGAACTCGGAACTAGAAGAGGTTGGTGTTTGAGTCTTATTGGATGTGATGTGAAACTTGTGCTTAATTAGGAGGATGGAGTAACCAATACTCAAATTAGGACACAAGTCTGTGGCAAAAAAATACTGTTTTAATTGCATTAATCGAGACAACACAATGGCACATGCAGTCCTTCATTTCGGGAAATTCTTACATTTGAAGACATACTTAATACACGAGAGAGGTTGTCTTCTCCAAGATAACAACAACAACAACTTGTATTTGTTTTTATACTGATTATATATTTTTAGTGAAATTATAAAATTATAGGCAGCTTTCAGAATTAAACTGAACCATAGACCTTGGCAAGTTCTGCCCACATGATAATTGACTTTTACAGAAAGTATGTAATGATAGTAGGAAAAAAAAACCCGTCATATTGTTTAATGAAAATGAAACTACACACATTATTTCAGGTTTTGAATCACATTTTGATAAAAAGTAATATTTTATTAATTAAATTAATACAGTGTAAAAGGTAATAAACAATAAGCAATCCATTCTGGAATAATGAAATACACATTAGAATTTAGAAGTATAAACTAGATTTGTAAGGGTACAGACAGATACTTTTTTCTTGGCATTTCGTCAAGCAATTTACATATACATTGCAAAATTGGATTAATTAGATGCCTGACTTCTGATGTTGTCCACTGTAGTCATCCTCCCTCAATTCAGTAATAACTGATATTTCAACTTAGACAAGTTGAGGTGTTTTTATCAGAAAATATTCTAGTTATATATCAGTAGATCTCGTGAACTGTATGTAGCAGTGGTGGGACACTTCGTTAGATCTAGTGAACTGTATGTAGCATTGGTGGGACACTTTGGTAGATCTAGTGAACTGTATGTAGCATTGGTGGGACACTTCAGTAGATCTAGTGAACTGTATGTAGCATTGGTGGGACACTTGGTAGATCTAGTGAACTGTATGTAGCATTGATGGGACACTTCGTTAGATCTAGTGAACAGTGTGTAGCAGTGGTGGGACACTTTGGTAGATCTAGTGAACTGTGTGTAGCATTGGTGGGACACTTCGTTAGATCTAGTGAACAGTGTGTAGCACTGGTGGGACACTTTGGTAGATTTAGTGAACTGTGTGTAGCATTGGTGGGACACTTCAGTAGATCTAGTTAACTGTATGTAGCAGTGGTGGGACACTTCAGTAGATCTAGTGAACTGTATGTAGCATTGGTGGGACACTTCAGTAGATCTATTGAGCTGTATGTAGCATTGGTGGGACACTTCAGTAGTTCTAGTGAACTGTGTGTAGCAGTGGTGGGACACTTCAGTAGATTCAGTGAACTGTGTGTAGCAGTGGTGGGACACTTCAGTAGTTCTAGTGAACTGTGTGTAGCAGTGGTGGGACACTTCAGTAGTTCTAGTGAACTGTATGTAGCAGTGGTGGGAAACTTTGTGTATTGTATTCGATCTAATGTTAGCAACATTAAATTGAGCCAGGTGTTGATCAGTTTGATAAACAAAGTGAAATACAAAATCTTACATACATTTATTTTTTTCAAATGACATAAAAATTTGAAAGATTCAGTTTTTTTTTATAGATTTATGGTAAAACTTTAAATATAATAATATGGTAAATAATCAAAGTAATTTTGAAAATAAGAATAAGAGTGCTATTTATTATAGTACGTATATATTACTAAGAATATTTATTGAGAGATACAGAAATCGTTACAGACTCCAATGATTTGAGCAGTATTAACAAATAATTGTAAGATCCAACTTCTCACTAACTTTAGAGAATTATAAAACAGAAAATATAAGTTACCCTGTGATGTGAGTTTAACTCGGTTAAATAGTTGAATATTGAATAATTATTTTTTAACAGCATTCATAGCTGTTACTTATTTTGTACATATCAGATTTGCTTAACAAATTCAAGTTCTTTTTATTGAAGAAAGAAGCTGGTAACAATTTTTCTGATTCTGTTATTAATACATTAAAATGCGTCTATAATCCCAAACAAATTGGTATTTAATATTCATGATAGAAGGTAATGTCTATTTTCTTAAACCCACACAAACTGGTAAGTAACATTCGTGATAAAAGATATGTTTCTTTGCCGATAGAAATTGAGGATTACGGAATCCAACTTTCAAGAATTACAAAGAGAAGTTGAAACTCTGAACTCACAACTGAAAGAAGAAAGAGGAAGAACTTTCACACTGCAAGGAGAAGTTAGGAAGCTAACAGCAAATCAAAGGGCACTGTCTGAAGTATGTAGTTTCTTGTGACCTAACATCTTGTGTACTTTACAAGACCTAGTGTCTCAAACTTGCATGAATCAAGTGAATCATTTTAGTGCTGTCCTTGAAATTACAACACTGTATCTATAAACATTCTGTTTCATTATTTAGTTTAACATCTTCAATATTCTATTTATATTTACCCATTTCTGCAGCTGGTACACTTATAAATTTGTGCTTTTAAAATTCCTGTATGAGGTATCAGATCATAAATTTTTGTAGTAATGTTGTCCAGTGACAATTCAATATATTTTGCCATAGAGTAAGTCAATTATTTCCTGCCTTCTATCTGTACGTTTCCCTCAAGATGTCAGAGAGGCCTGTACGATAACATCTTGCTGCCATTACAACAAGCACTGCCTGCCTTCTATCTGTACGTTTCCCTCAAGATGTCAGTGAGGCCTGTACGATAACACCTTGCTGCCATTGCAGCAAGCACTGCCAAAGCTGGGGAAAATGCAGATTATTTTATGAATTTTATAGATAGCATTGACTCTGATGGGTTGATGCAATGAACAGTAAAAACATTTAGAGGACTTATACATACCTGACGCAGTGAATGAGTTAATATGGGAAGATCAGTGAGGAATCATTTCCCATTTTTGTTAGGAACTTGTTTTTAAGGTGGAGAATAGAAAGATTTACCAACTTTTTCTCTTGTTTTTCAGTTGGAAGAATGCATTACTGATCTAAGAAATGAAAATAAAGTTTTGAAGGATGCAAATGAAAAACTCATTAACAGGTAATGTAACACGTTTTATATTATGTGTGATAACTTCAAGTATAATACCTAATTCTGTTGAATATTTTCTGATTTTCTGGTACAATGGCTGATTGTTTTCATAATATCTGATTAACTTTTGTATGATACCTGATTGTGTTACATATTATTTGATTACTTTGATAAATGTGTGGCATGATCTGGTGGTTTGGGTGCTCGACTTGCAAGCTGTGGGTCGCGGGTTCGGATCACTTTCACTGAACATGCTCTCCCTTTCATCCATGGGGTGTTATAATGTGATAGTTATTTCCATTATTCATTGGTGAAAGAGTAACTCAAGAGTTGACTAGCTGTCTTCCCACTAGGCTATCACTGCTAAATTAAGGTATAATAACTAATTATGTTGCATATTATTTGATTAATTCTGGTATAATAACTAATTATGTTGCATATTATTTGATTAATTCTGGTATAATAACTGATTATGTTGCATATTATTTGATTAATTCTGGTATAATAACTGATTATG